AAATTATTTCTATTGCACACAGACCATGATATAAGGTTTTTACACTCCAATAATTTTCAATCTCACTGTCAACTTTTAGCAAACTTGCATATACTAAAAGGCAATAATCAACCTCTCAAGGTTGGTGGACTGCAAGACCCTTCTTTATTAGTATATGGGGATAACTTTTGAGTTATTTGTATGTGGGCATATGTATTGGTATGGCCAGGAAACTACCTCCTGAAGCATTCCCTTAGTAAAAAAGAGTCGAATGAACTCAAGCTCACAGTTCATTGAGCCGAATGAACTCAAGCTCACAGTTGATCGAAATGGATCCTGGACATGTCAGTGAGGAGCAAAATCTGGGAGAACATTCCTGGCATCAGGATCATCATATTCGTCATGTACTATGGGGCCTAGTGGGGGATGCTAGACAGGGAGCTTTCGAAACCTTAGGTCCTAATGGCTGGGCTTCCCTCTACCTCTGCTCATCCCCCTACCTTCCCTCTGGGTTGGTGAGTGGGGTTCTCATGACTCATCAGAACTCTACTTCCCTGAGGCTATGAAACAGGAACAGCAGATAGGAACAGGATCAATATATTCATCAGTGCGAATAAAAACTTTTAGAGACATGGTGCCATATAAAATTATAATAAGAGCCAACTAGTAAGATATAAGTATGAATACTTGGCTATTATGTATGTAACAAACAACCAAACATGTGCTCAAGGCTCATTTTACTTCGCCTAGGAATCAGAGATTTTTATGCCTAAAACACCATAAATTTTCGTCAACAATATAAATAAATACCATTTTTATATTTGTCAATTTCAGTATGAAACGATTATTTCAACACAAAAAAGCGATATGAGGACATACTTGGTCGTACTAGTGAAGCTATACTAAATACAAATAAATTTACAACGCCATGGCAATGGCAAAACATTGAAATAGAAATTGTCTAGAAATGATACAAATACTTGCCTTGAAACTCCAGACACGACTCCCAATGCCAGGTTGAGATACTTGTCTTCATACGAAGACATTCCATCATTACTAGCACTATCAGTTCGCAAAATAAAGCCAAAATAAAGTCTTCAGAATGCGATTCAAACAAAACTACAACACAATACATTTCAACGCTCGTGCGTTCCCGTGCGCGATAATCAGGAAAATTGCTCTAAAAGATTTGTTTTTCTGCCTAAGCCAATCAAAATCCGTATCTAGGGTAAACAAACCCTCCGGAAGTGATTCCTGCAGTCTTTTACCAGGAAACTGTAATGCTTTACCAAGAATTTGGCGTCCGAAGTTGGCCGAACACTTTCCGATCACGAGAATTGCCATAATAGGCTTAGATTATTTCGCAATTTCCCGAGACTACTCCGAGCTATAGAATGGAAGATGGAGATTCTTTTGGTATATTTGTTATTATTATACGTTGAAAATAAGCAAAAAGACGAGCATTTGAATCAGGCGGAACATTCAAAATGCAACAGCAAAATTGATAATGTGTCATTTGCATAAATTTCACCACATTGATCATTTCAAGGTAAGAAATTCGCTTGAAATTGAGCGAGAAACAATAAAATTATATGAATATTTCTGAATATATAGTATCGATCAAGCGGAATTTTTTGGTGGTATTTTCGTATGTCTACTGCAAATACTCGCGAAGTTCTTTAATATTTAAACTTCCTGTCATATACGTCGGAAATTAATATTGGCGGATTGAATTGAGTTAATCCAGGAAAAAAGGAGTGTAACATCCGGGAGTTAGCACTTCCGGCGGGAAAAAACAGGCACCTCGAGGAGAACTAGACAGCTGTATTAACAAGGGAGTTTTACTTAGCATAGTTGGATTTTAAGGTTAAAATACTACATTTACATGCTGTCATTTTCGATCATTTTCTTAATAGATTAGTTTTGTTCAAGGTGATGGGAGAAGGTTGCACCTTTTCTGTTACAGTAAATTTGTTAATTTGTCGATATTGTGCACATTGAAGCAAAAGGAACGAGTTAGGATTCTATCTACTTTATAATTAAAATATTGTTTTGTTGTTTTGTTGTGGATAAACGATTCACTAAATTAAAAGTAATTACCTGTTGTTAAATTTAATATTAATTTTAATATGAAAAACCTAAAATATACCTAAAATACAGGGCGCGAAATAACGGCTGGAGGGACGCCGGTCAAGGTGACCGGCCAACTCAATTTTAGCCTGGACATACCGTATTTCTGGCCGGTCGTATTATTCAGCTTAAAGCAATGCCTAGTAAAGTATACCCCTAAAAATGTGACTATTTTCCCAGTATAGCATTACAAAAAGCCTTACTGTAATCAGTAATTAAAAACTCCTTCACATAAAACAACTTGCACTGCGCTAAAACAATGGCCTTAATTAACTCTTAAGCCAAAAGCATGGCCATGGGCTTTGTGACGTACTGCGTGGGAAAGCTGGCGTACATTGAAGTTCTTTTCCCGCAAGATATTGGACAACATGTTATGGTTCTTAATTATAATGCTTGACAACTTTGTTTTGATTATTAATTCAAATGAAGATTAGTTGTTTGTTCTTTTACCAAAAGTAACCGGTCAAAATGACCGACAAGGTAAGAATTTCACCGGACAATTCCGCATTCTGGCCGGACATTGTCCGTTGACCGGCCGTTATTTCGCGCCCTGAAAATACGATAATAGTTGTGTTTGTTTTTGATAATCGTATTACATTAGCGATATATAAGTTCTTTTTGGCAAAATTTCTGTGCTTTGGCTTTTTTGTATTGAAAACTTGACAATTTAATATTGCACTCGTTGACATACTTCAAAAGTCGGGGCTTAACTTGAACAACAACTATTTTGTCAAACTTCGAGTTAAGCCCAGGGGCTTAACTCGAATGACCCAAATCGTGTTTCGTTCTTCGAGTTAAGCCCTTTTTGGAAAAAGGGCGTGGTCATGGCAAAACAGGGCGTGGTC